CTGCGTATATTTTCCCAAAGTAAAGTGAATTAAAATCGGATAAAAATCGAGAGAAAAAAAAAGAGAAAATCTCATACATATATACATATACTTTTTATATTAATCAATAGCTAATAATCGAGTCGATAGCAGAATATCTCTTCTAATTTTTTTTTTATAGTGAATAAGCTAAGAATATAAAATCTTACTTTCTTACTTTTCTTAAATTAATAATCAGCCAATAAATTAAAATTTATTACTATGCAGTAGTAATAAATATGACAAGCAAGAAATAATTGCCTCAAGAATTTTAAATAACAATCAATTTCATTACATCATTTAACGTAAATTATTTCTATAAACGAATACGCCTACAACGAATTTTAAAACAAGAACACCAAATACCTAGAAAAACTAATTCTAAATAGATGGTAATTCACAGTAGCAAGGATCATCTTGCCGTTGAACCCGCGTTTGTTTAAATCCCGGGTTTGTTCAAGGATCAAGTGTAATAGTCGGTGGACACGTAGATGAAACGCGATTCAAACGGGGAAAACTGCATCTGCCTCTTCCGCGAGCGCATCTCGAAAGTATAAATTCGTCATTGGCATCCATTGTTACCAATCGGCCGTCTAGTATGACTTTTTCTATTTCAGAATCAAGTGACCCTCCGGCGAGCATTTCAATTTTCGCTCCTCGTTTCAATTCGGGATGGGACGACTCGACGAACAATTAGTCGTCGTACAATTTGATCAGCGATTGTCATCGGCGTATCCAACCCCTCCCACACCCTCTTCCCTCCTCCTTCCCTCTCACGCGCTGAAAAAACTCGCGGTGGAGAATCATTTTTATGTTGCAATTTCGTTTCTCCCTCTCTCTCTCTCTCTCTCTTTCTCTTTATTCGATGCATTGTCGGCCGACACGATTTTTTTCGAGCAGCATCTTAACGATAAACGATGTTCGATTGAAAGCAGATATCGTTTCAATTTTTCGGAATCGGATCCAGGTCGATGAAAACGAATTCACGATAATCTCTGAAAACAATCGGATCCGTAGACGACGAGTTGCAAAATATTTTCGATAATCGCGATAATTATATCTTTATTGGAAAAGATTTCGAAGAAATTTTTTATCGTTCCTTTTTAATTTTGATTTATTTTAAAATTTTTCCAAAATTCTAGTAAACGTTTTAAAACGTTTAATTTCAAAATTGTTTGATAAGTCTTTCCTTTAAGAGATGATTCGTCAGATCATTCGACAGGGTAGGAAATGAATGGGTTGAGAAACGCTGGTTCAGCGTGAAACGATAAACTTCAAATGGATATACGGTACAAGGTATTCGGTAAATATTTCGAAAATATTTATAGGATTTCGTGGGTGTCGTCTTCCTCGTGCTTTGTAGATTCAACGAGATTATAACTTAAATACTTTAATAAGAGAAGACATCGAAAAACCGTAGAGTCTCGCGTACAAACAGCATAAACGATGCAAAAGATTGTGTATGCAGACGGAATACGGATGAATAAGCGAACGTGGGAGGGAGAGAGCAAGAGGGGAGGGAGGAGAGGGGGGAGGGAGAAATAAAGAGAGAGGGAGAGATGGAGAGAGAGATGGAACGGTGAAGTGGTAGGAAAAGACTAAAAGAGAAGAAAGAGAGGAGGAAACAAAGCAGCGCCCCTTTGTCCTTTGCTATAATGCACGGTACAAGTCAGCGCGCGGTGCATTTGCAAAGAGGTTGCAAGACTTTTCGTTACCGTGACATTTTCTTTTTGCCTTCCCTACTTTATCCTTCGTTTATGCGTAGTAAATATTTACATATCGTTAATTGATCAAACGTTTCGTTCCACATGGACGGGGCAACTCGCAGCCACAATGCAATTAAACCGTATCGTTACAGCGTATTTTACATAATTGAAAGACACAATTAGATAATTATGAACGTATAGAATAAAGCGAGACGAAATTTAACATGAATTTTTAATCTTGTTTTTTACCAACAATTTTTAATAATTCTTTACACCGTTGGATTCGTTTCCTTCGTTTCAATTCTTCTTTTTTTTTCCCTCCCCTAATATTCTAGTCATTTGAAAATTCGAGAAAGACACATATCGTTTATTTATTGGCGTTATTTTTATTAATCAGTAGAATTTTGAAATAATGGTTTGTGAAAGATTTGTTATATGATAACGATGGAAATAACAATTAAAAAAAAAATAATTTTAATTCTTTTTAAAATTTTTTTTTTAAATAGATTCATAATTAGCACGGAATTCAGATTACGAGAATCGTGTCAAATTGCATGTAAACGTACGATGGAAATCAGCATACGTTCATACATTGTAAGCTGATTAAGTTCTTTACTTCCTCATATTAGACAATCAAGGATAACAATCATTACCATACCAGTTATCATTCCTATTATCACCATCCGTTTGACAGTAGAGCGAGATTAAAATGTACCAATGAGCTTAAATTTACTAATCAAGATACGAATTAAATAGTCGAATGATTGAATACGCAAAAAATTAATTTTTCTCCTTTTTCTTACGATTTATATATATATATATATATTTTCTTTTAAACAATATTTTATTATTACTTTATCATCGATAATTTTTTCACATCGAACCTTTTCAGTTTCGCGTGATTTGCGATTTGGCAAAGTAACGTGCAAACAATGTTCCATAGAGCAACTCTTGCTTTTATTATCTTTCTCTTCTTCGTAAAGGCTTGAGTTACAGAGTTACGAGCACAATAGTCGTCGCCATCCCAACATTTGTTTGGTTGCCAAGTAGAGAATGGGTCAGTTCTTAGCGCTTAGGATAGTGTTCGCTTCTATTATGACTCTAGCCCATCTATCATTCGCGTTGGTACATTTGAAATCAATTTCTTCGCTTCTTGGACTCGCGTGAACCAAGGAGAGATTTTTCAACGCGCAGATATACAACTTTCTAAATAATTAACTAATTTTTTAATTCCGCATTATATTATGTATCGTGTCAAAAATAAGAATTCAATATCAAATGTACGGTTAATTAATAATGAAAAAAAGATTGTGATAAAAAAATTTAATAAAAAAAAAATAATAATAATAAATAGTTAAAAAAGAAAACTATCAATGTTGAAAGCGAAACGACGTGGCTCCCCACGTGGCGGGAGTTAATAACCAATCGTATTCAATGTTCTGCAACGACGCGTCCACATTCGACTTCTATGAATAGAATAAACCGCGTATTATCGCAAGAACGATTTTACTCTCTTAAGAATCCTCATGAGGAAATTATTGAACCACTTTGTGCCCCTTGAACGGCGCCACATTAGCGCCAATAAGCAAACAACCGTCGAGTGTACCCACATATCAGCGGCACCAGCAGCCCTGCTTCTACGAACGGCAATTGTTGTACGTTGACTTGTCTCTCTTTCTCTCCCTCTCTCTCTCTCTCTCTCTTTTTCTCTCATATCCCCGTTCATTCTCTCTCCATAAATAATCTCTACAATTTCTAGAGGCCTCCTGTGTCAGCGAATTCTCCGGTGGTCTCGTTTCGCATAAAGGACTTTGAGCTTATGTGACGCGTGAAATTATAACGGTGGTGGAAAAGTAAAAAAGAGAGCGACCGGGCCAAAGCATTCTTTGAATAGTGGAATTATTTGCAGTAAGAAAATGAAAATGCAAAGGCGGCCGGCTAAAGCGCGTATAAAGGAGAATGCATTTTCTACTATGACCCTGCAATTATATTACTCCGTGCCGATCCT